CCATCCACCAACCCTCCCACTCACTCACCCACCCACCAACCCACCCCTCCACCCCCACCAACCCACCCACCCACCCACCAACCCACCCACCCACCCACCAACCCACCCACCCACCTTTTCCCCCCACCACAGATGCCAGCCCGCTGTAGAAGTCTCCTGAGCATCCACCCACCAGCCCCACCACCACCTCTCCCCACCAACCCCCCACTAGTCACCACCACGGCCTTCCTGTCCGGTCTTGTGACGCCTTCCACGGTCGCTGCCGTCGCCCCAGAGACGCTAAGGCGGATCAGAGACTACATAGCACAGGCCCTGGTGCGGATGAAATCCCTGGAGGGGCAAGTAAGGAGTATTCCACTGATGCAGGTGAGTAGTGTATAGTGTAGTGTAGTAGTGTATAGTGTAGTAGTGTATAGTGTAGTGTAGTAGTGTATAGTGTAGTGTAGTAGTGTATAGCACAGGCCCTGGTGCGGATGAGATCCCTGGAGGGGCAAGTAAGGAGTATTCCACTCATGCAGGTGAGTAGTGTATAGTGTAGTGTAGTAGTGTATAGTGTAGTAGTGTATAGTGTAGTGTAGTAGTGTATAGCACAGGCCCTGGTGCGGATGAGATCCCTAGAGGGGCAAGTAAGGAGTATTCCACTCATGCAGGTGAGTAGTGTATAGTGTAGTGTAGTAGTGTATAGTGTAGTGTAGTAGTGTATAGTGTAGTAGTGTATAGTGTAGTGTAGTAGTGTATAGCACAGGCCCTGGTGCGGATGAGATCCCTGGAGGGGCAAGTAAGGAGTATTCCACTGATGCAGGTGAGTAGTGTATAGTGTAGTGTAGTAGTGTATAGTGTAGTGTAGTAGTGTATAGTGTAGTGTAGTAGTGTATAGTGTAGTAGTGTATAGTATAGTAGTGTAGTGTAGTAGTGTATAGTGTAGTAGTGTATAGTGTAGTGTAGTAGTGTATAGTGTAGTAGTGTAGTGTAGTAGTGTATAGTGTAGTGTAGTAGTGTATAGTGTAGTGTAGTAGTGTATAGTGTAGTGTAGTAGTGTATAGTGTAGTAGTGTATAGTGTAGTGTAGTAGTGTATAGTGTAGTGTATAGTGTAGTAGTGTATAGTGTAGTAGTGTATAGTGTAGTAGTGTATAGTGTAGTAGTGTATAGTGTAGTGTAGTAGTGTATAGCACAGGCCCTGGTGCGGATGAGATCCCTGGAGGGGCAAGTAAGGAGTATTCCACTGATGCAGGTGAGTAGTGTATAGTGTAGTGTAGTAGTGTATAGTGTAGTGTAGTAGTGTATAGTGTAGTAGTGTATAGTGTAGTGTAGTAGTGTAGTGTAGTAGTGTATAGTGTAGTAGTGTATAGTGTAGTAGTGTATAGTGTAGTAGTGTATAGTGTAGTGTAGTAGTGTATAGTGTAGTAGTGTATAGTGTAGTAGTGTATAGTGTAGTGTATAGTAGTGTATAGTGTAGTAGTGTATAGTGTAGTAGTGTATAGTGTATAGCACAGGCCCTGGTGCGGATGAGATCCCTGGAGGGGCAAGTAAGGAGTATTCCACTCATGCAGGTGAGTAGTGTATAGTGTAGTGTAGTAGTGTATAGTGTAGTGTAGTAGTGTGGTAGTGTATAGTGTAGTGTAGTAGCGTATAGCACAGGCCCTGGTGCGGATGAGATCCCTGGAGGGGCAAGTAAGGAGTATTCCACTCATGCAGGTGAGTAGTGTATAGTGTAGTGTAGTAGTGTATAGTGTAGTGTAGTAGTGTATAGTGTAGTAGTGTATAGTGTAGTGTAGTAGTGTATAGTGTAGTTGTGTATAGTGTAGCAGTGTATAGTGTAGTGTAGTAGTGTATAGTGTAGTGTAGTAGTGTATAGTGTAGTGTAGTAGTGTATAGTGTAGTGTAGTAGTGTATAGTGTAGTGTAGTAGTGTATAGCACAGGCCCTGGTGCGGATGAGATCCCTGGAGGGGCAAGTAAGGAGTATTCCACTGATGCAGGTGAGTAGTGTATAGTGTAGTGTAGTAGTGTATAGTGTAGTGTAGTAGTGTATAGTGTAGTAGTGTATAGTGTAGTGTAGTAGTGTATAGTGTAGTTGTGTATAGTGTAGCAGTGTATAGTGTAGTGTAGTAGTGTATAGTGTAGTGTAGTAGTGTATAGTGTAGTAGTGTATAGTGTGGTAGTGTATAGTGTAGTGTAGTAGTGTATAGCACAGGCCCTGGTGCGGATGAGATCCCTGGAGGGGCAAGTAAGGAGTATTCCACTGATGCAGGTGAGTAGTGTATAGTGTAGTGTAGTAGTGTATAGTGTAGTAGTGTATAGTGTAGTGTAGTAGTGTATAGCACAGGCCCTGGTGCGGATGAGATCCCTGGAGGGGCAAGTAAGGAGTATTCCACTGATGCAGGTGAGTAGTGTATAGTGTAGTGTAGTAGTGTATAGTGTAGTGTAGTAGTGTATAGTGTAGTAGTGTATAGTGTAGTGTAGTAGTGTATAGTGTAGTAGTGTATAGTGTAGTGTAGTAGTGTATAGCACAGGCCCTGGTGCGGATGAGATCCCTAGAGGGGCAAGTAAGGAGTATTCCACTCATGCAGGTGAGTAGTGTATAGTGTAGTGTAGTAGTGTATAGTGTAGTAGTGTATAGTGTAGTAGTGTATAGTGTAGTGTAGTAGTGTATAGTGTAGTGTAGTAGTGTATAGTGTAGTAGTGTATAGTGTAGTGTAGTAGTGTATAGCACAGGCCCTGGTGCGGATGAAATCCCTGGAGGGGCAAGTAAGGAGTATTCCACTGATGCAGGTGAGTAGTGTATAGTGTAGTGTAGTAGTGTATAGTGTAGTGTAGTAGTGTATAGTGTAGTAGTGTATAGTGTAGTGTATAGTGTAGTAGTGTATAGTGTAGTAGTGTATAGTGTAGTAGTGTAGTAGTGTATAGTGTAGTGTAGTAGTGTATAGCACAGGCCCTGGTGTGGATGAGATCCCTGGAGGGGCAAGTAAGGAGTATTCCACTGATGCAGGTGAGTAGTGTATAGTGTAGTGTAGTAGTGTATAGTGTAGTAGTGTATAGTGTAGTAGTGTAGTGTAGTAGTGTATAGTGTAGTAGTGTATAGTGTAGTGTAGTAGTGTATAGTGTAGTAGTGTATAGTATAGTAGTGTAGTAGTGTATAGTGTAGTAGTGTATAGTGTAGTGTAGTAGTGTATAGCACAGGCCCTGGTGCGGATGAGATCCCTAGAGGGGCAAGTAAGGAGTATTCCACTCATGCAGGTGAGTAGTGTATAGTGTAGTGTAGTAGTGTATAGTGTAGTAGTGTATAGTGTATAGTGTAGTAGTGTATAGTGTAGTAGTGTATAGTGTAGTAGTGTATAGTGTAGTGTAGTAGTGTATAGTGTAGTGTAGTAGTGTAGTAGTGTATAGTGTAGTAGTGTATAGTGTAGTAGTGTATAGTGTAGTAGTGTATAGTGTAGTAGTGTATAGTGTAGTAGTGTATAGTGTAGTGTATAGTGTAGTGTAGTAGTGTATAGTGTAGTGTAGTAGTGTATAGTGTAGTGTAGTAGTGTATAGTGTAGTGTAGTAGTGTATAGTGTAGTAGTGTATAGTGTAGTAGTGTATAGTGTAGTGTAGTAGTGTATAGCACAGGCCCTGGTGCGGATGAGATCCCTGGAGGGGCAAGTAAGGAGTATTCCACTGATGCAGGTGAGTAGTGTATAGTGTAGTGTAGTAGTGTATAGTGTAGTGTAGTAGTGTATAGTGTGGTAGTGTATAGTGTAGTAGTGTATAGTGTAGTAGTGTATAGTGTAGTAGTGTATAGTGTAGTGTATAGTGTAGTGTAGTAGTGTATAGTGTAGTAGTGTATAGTGTAGTAGTGTATAGTGTAGTAGTGTATAGTGTAGTAGTGTATAGTGTAGTAGTGTATAGTGTAGTAGTGTATAGAGTATAGTGTAGTAGTGTATAGTATAGTGTAGTAGTGTATAGTGTAGTAGTGTAGTAGTAGTGTATAGTGTAGTAGTGTATAGTGTAGTAGTGTATAGTGTAGTAGTGTATAGTGTAGTAGTGTATAGTGTAGTAGTGTATAGTGTAGTAGTGTATAGTGTAGTAGTGTATAGTGTAGTAGTGTATAGTGTAGTGTATAGTGCAGTAGTGTATAGTGTAGTGTATAGTGTAGTGTATAGTGTAGTGTATAGTGTAGTAGTGTATAGTGTAGTGTATAGTGTAGTGTATAGTGTAGTAGTGTATAGTGTAGTGTATAGTGTAGTAGTGTATAGTGTAGTAGTGTATAGTGTAGTGTATAGTGTAGTAGTGTATAGTGTAGTAGTGTATAGTGTAGTGTATAGTGTAGTGTATAGTGTAGTAGTGTAGTGTATAGTGTAGTGTATAGTGTAGTAGTGTATAGTGTAGTAGTGTATAGTGTAGTGTATAGTGTAGTAGTGTATAGTGTAGTAGTGTATAGTGTAGTAGTGTATAGTGTAGTGTAGTGTATAGTGTAGTGTATAGTGTAGTGTATAGTGTAGTGTATAGTGTAGTAGTGTATAGTATATAGTGTAGTAGTGTATAGTGTAGTAGTGTATAGTGTAGTGTATAGTGTAGTGTATAGTGTAGTGTATAGTGTAGTGTATAGTGTAGTAGTGTATAGTATAGTGTATAGTGTAGTGTATAGTATAGTGTAGTGTATAGTGTGGTGTATAGTATAGTGTAGTGTATAGTGTAGTAGTGTATAGTGTAGTAGTGTAGTGTATAGTGTAGTAGTGTATAGTGTAGTGTATAGTGTAGTGTATAATGTGCCACGTGGTCTCTGATGCCCCCCAGGTGAAGATTTCCGTGCTGCAGGAGGAACGGAGGCGCTTGACCGCGTCGCTCAACGCCGCTACACAACGCCCCGAGGCCAAGTTCAACTCCGGCCCGGGGTTCCGTGGTGGTGGTGATGGTGGTGGTGGAGGTGGTGGTGATGGTGGTGGTGGAGGTGGTGGTGGTGATGGTGGTGGTGGAGGTGGTGGTGGTGGTGGTGATGGTGGTGGTGACCTCGGGGCTGAGATGAAGGCGCTGGGCGAGGTGGTGAAGGCACTGGAGAAAGTGGAGGAGGTGAGAGAAAGAGAGGGAGGGAGAGCCACTCACTCACTCAGTCACTCACTCACTCAGTCACTCACTCACCCAGTCACTCACTCAGTCAGTCACTCACTCACTCACCCACTCACTCACTCACCCACTCACTCACCCAGTCACTCACTCAGTCACTCACTCAGTCAGTCACTCACTCACCCACTCACTCACTCACCCACTCACCCACTCACTCACTCTGTCACTCACTCACCCACTCACTCACTCAACCACCCACTCACTCACTCACCCACTCACTCAGTCAGTCACTCACTCAGTCACTCACTCACTCAACCATCCACTCACTCAGTCACTCACTCACTCACTCACCCACTCACTCACTCACCCACTCAACCACTCACTCACTCACCCACTCACTCACCAACTCACTCACTCAGTCACTCACTCACTCAACCACCCACTCACTCACTCACTCAACCACCCACTCACTCACTCACTCACCCCCCACTCAACCACTCACCCTCTCACTCACTCACCCACTCACTCACCCACTCAACCACTCACTCAACCACCCACTCACTCACTCACCCCCCACTCAACCACTCACCCTCTCACCCACTCACTCACCCACTCACTCACCCACTCACTCACTCAGTCAGTCACTCACTCACTCAGTCACTCACTCACTCAACCACCCACTCAGTCACTCACTCAACCACCCACTCACTCAACCACCCACTCAACCACCCACTCACTCAACCACCCACTCAACCACTCACTCACTCAACCACCCACTCACTCACCCCCCACTCAACCACTCACCCTCTCACCCACTCACTCACTCAGTCACTCACTCAGTCACTCACTCACTCAACCACCCACTCAGTCACTCACTCACTCAGTCACTCACTCACTCAACCACTCACTCACTCAACCACTCACCCTCTCACCCACTCACCCTGCCCCCCACGTCTCCTCAGCCTCACTCCACCACCACCGCCACCACCACCGCCGCCGCGTGGGGCTCAGCGGACGATCGTCTCCGCCTCGAGTCGCGCATCGCAGCCCTGGAGCTGCAGCTGCGCGTGGAGCGCCACCGGCACGGGCGGAGCCTCGCCCCGGTCGCCGTTGCTCACAAGTCGACGGGGGTCACGCCGGCCCTGCTGGGCATCGTCGACGGGGCCTCGGACCAGCCTGGCCTCGCCCGGGCCCTGCCGGCCCTCAGCCGGGCGACGCCTTCTAGGCCAGGGCAGGCTCCGCCGGGGCCCGACAACCAGGCCTCGCCTTCTAGGCCAGGGCAGGCTCCGCCGGGCCCCGACAACCAGGCCTCGCCTTCTAGGCCAGGGCAGGCTCCGCCGGGCCCAGACAACCAGGCCTCGCCTTCTAGGCCAGGGCAGGCTCCGCCGGGCCCAGGCAGCCAGGCCTCGCCTTCTAGGCCAGGGCAGGCTCCGCCGGGCCCCGACAACCAGGCCTCGCCTTCTAGGCTAGGGCAGGCTTCGCCGGGCCCGGGCCGGGCCTCCGCGAGTCCGCAGCGGGCGCCCTCGGCGCGGAGCGCTATCGATCGGTCCCAAACGGGTCGGGGCCAGGCGTCAGCGAGTCAGGGCGAGGCCCGGGGCGGTCCCAGCCCAGGCTCGCCGGGCACCACGGAGCCGGCGTTGGCCTCGTTCGGGGACGGGGCCCCCGATGGGACCGACTGCGGGCGGTCTAAAGTCGGCCGGGAGCAGGGGACGCTGGAGTCCGTGCCGGGCCCGGCTTGGGCTGGGCCAGACGAGACCTCGTGCGTGAGCGCCCTGGAGCAGGCCTGGCCCGGCCGAGGGCGCCCTCTGCCGGCCCCGAGCAACGCCTTCGCCCTCGCCGGCGGCTGGGAGCGGTCGGGGCGTGGCCTGGACGCTGGAGGAGCTCCCCGGCGGTCCGTCGCCACGACGACTGGTCCAGAGCAGGCCTCGTCCGTGACCTGCCTCGACCTGGGCCCAGTTCAGGCTTCTTTGGTTAGGTCAGATCAGGCTGCTCTAGCTAGGCCCGACCAGGCCTCAGCCATGTCCTGGCCCGACCTGGGCCCTGCTCAGGCTTCTTTTGCTAGGCCAGTTCAGGCTTCTCCAGCTAGGCCAGACCAGGCCTCAGCCATGACCTGGCCCGACCTGGGCCCTGCTCAGGCTTCTTTTGCTAGGCCAGTTCAGGCTTCTCCAGCTAGGCCAGACCAGACCTCAGCCATGACCTGGCCCGACCTAGGCCTAGCTCAGGCTTCTCCAGCTAGGCCGGACAAGGCCTCAGCCATGACCTGGCCTGACCTAGGCCCTGTTCAGGCTTCTCCAGCTAGGCCCGACCAGGCCTCAGCCATGACCTGGTCCGAGCTGGGCCCAGTTCAGGCTTCTTTGGCTAGGCCAGAACAGGCCTCAACCATGACCTGCCTCGACCTGGGCCCAGTTCAGGCTTCTCCAGCTATGCCAGACCAGGCCTCGTCCATTACCTGCCTCGACCTGGGCCCAGTTCAGGCTTCTCCAGCTAGGCCCGACCAGGCCTCAACCATGACCTGGCCCGACCTAGGCCCAGTTCAGGCTTCTCCAGCTAGGCCCGACCAGGCCTCAGCCATGACCTGGGCCGACCTGGGCCCAGTTCAGGCTTCTCCAGCTAGGCCAGTTCAGGCTTCTCCAGCTAGGCCAGAACAGGCCTCGTCAATTACCTGCCTCGACCTTGGCCCAGTTCAGGCTTCTCCAGCTAGGCCAGAACAGGCCTCAACCATGACCTGGCCCGACCTAAGCCCAGTTCAGGCTTCTCCAGCTAGGCCCGACCAGGCCTCAACCATGACCTGGCCCGACCTAGGCCCAGTTCAGGCTTCTTCGGCTAGGCCAGTTCAGGCTTCTTTGGCTAGGCCAGACCAGGCCTCGTCCATTACCTGCCTCGACCTGGGCCCAGTTCAGGCTTCTTTGGCTAGGCCCGACCAGGCCTCAACCATGACCTGGCCCGACCTAGGCCCAGTTCAAGCTTCTCCAGCTAGGCCCGACCAGGCCTCAGCCATGACCTGGCCCGACCTGGGCCCAGTTCAGGCTTCTCCAGCTAGGCCAGTTCAGGCTTCTCCAGCTAGGCCAGAACAGGCCTCGTCAATTACCTGCCTCGACCTGGGCCCAGTTCAGGCTTCTCCGGCTAGGCCCGACCAGGCCTCAACCATGACCTGCCTCGACCTGGGCCCAGTTCAGGCTTCTCCAGCTAGGCCCGACCAGGCCTCGTCCGCCCCCGTCTGGCGCCCCAGCGACACGGCGGTGCCTATTCTGGAGTCCCCGTCACCAAACGGCGGTGATGGTGGGGGTAGTGGTGGTGATGATGATGATGGCAGTGGTGGTGGTGATGGTGATGACGGTGGTGGTGGTGGTGAGGATGGTGATGGTGGTGATGATGGTGGTGGTGGCGGAGTCTCAGAGCTCCGCTTCACGGAGGAGGGCTGCCCCGATGCTTCGGTGGTCTGGGAGATGGCAGCAGGGGAAGCGAGCGACGCGATTGGCCAGGTCGCTGGGTCAGCTGACGCCCGGCGCCAAATGGGAGGGGGAGGTGAGCGGGCGAGGCTGAAGGTGCCACTCACCACGTTACTCACCAACTCACCCACCCACTCGCCACCTTACTCACCAACTCACCCACCCACTCACCACCTTACTCACCCACCCACCACCTTACTCACCAACTCACCCACCCACTCACCACCTTACCAACTCACCACCTTACTCACCAACTCACCCACCCACTCACCACCTTACTCACCCACTCACCACCTTACTCACCCACCCACCACCTTACTCACCCACCACCTTACCCACCCACTTACCCACCCACTCACCCACCCACTCACCCACCCACTCACCAACTCACCCACTCACTCATCCACTCACCACCTTACTCACCCACCCACTCACCCACCCACTCACCCACCCACTCACTCACTCACCCACTCACTCACCCACCCACTCACCCACCCACTCACCCACCCACCCATCCACTCACCACCTTACTCACCCACTCACCCACCCACTCACCACCTTACCCACCCACTCACCCACCCACCCACTCACTCACCCACCCACCCACTCACTCACCCACCCACCCACTCACTCATCCACTCACCACCTTACCCACCCACTCACCCACGCACTCACCACCTTACCCACCCACTCACCACCTTACCCACTCACCCACCCACTCACCCACTCACCCACTCACTCACCCACCCACTCACCCACTCACTCACCCACTCACCCACTCACTCACCCACTCACCCACTCACTCACCCACCCACCCACTCACCCACCCACTCGCCCACTCACTCACCCACTCGCTCACTCAGTCACCCACCCACCCACCCACTCACTCACCCACTCACCCACCCACTCACTCACCCACCCACCCACTCACTCACCCACCCACTCACTCACTCATCCACTCACCACCTTACCCACCCACTCACCCACCCACTCACCACCTTACCCACCCACTCACCACCTTACCCACTCACCCACCCACCCACTCACCCATTCACCCACTCACTCACCCACTCACTCACTCACCCACTCACCCACCCACCCACTCACCCACTCACTCACCCACCCACCCACTCATCCACCCACCCACTCACTCACCCACCCACCCACTCACTCACTCACCCCACCCACTCACCCACCCCACTCACCCACCCACCCACTCACTCACCCACTCACCCACCCACTCACCCACCCACTCACCAACCCCCCCCCCACCGACGTTGACACAGGCACAGCCGCGGCTCCACAGACGCCTCTGAGGTCGATCATGAAGAGGGGCGGAGCTCGCAAGGACCCCGCGGCTGCCTCGGGCGTCCACAGGAAGAGCCTCAAGTTCATGGACGCCAACGGAGGGTGAGGTGCCCTCCTCTTCCTGTCTAGTCCCCGCCCCTTCCTGTATAGTCCCCGCCCCTTTCACATTTAGTTCCCGCCCCTTCATGTACAGTCCCCACCTTTTCCTGTCTAGTTTCCGCCCCTTCCTGTATAGTCCCCGCCCCTTTCACATATAGTTCCCGCCCCTTCATGTACAGTCCCCGCCTTTTCCTGTTTAGTCCCCGCCCCTTCATGTATAGCCCCCGCCCTTTCCTGTCTAGTCCCCGACCTTTCCTGTCTAGTCCCCGCCCTTTCCTGTCTAGTCCCTTCCTCTTCCTGTCTGGTCCCCTCCCCTTCCTGTCTAGTCCCCTCCCCTTCCTGTCTAGTCCCCGCCCCTTTTTGTCGAGTCCCTGCCCCTTCCTGCCAAGTCTTATTCCTCTCTCATCGCCCATTTCCTGTCCAATCCCCGCCCCTTCCTGTCTAGTCCCCTCCCCTTCCTGTCTAGTCCCCTCCTCTTCCTGTCGAGTCCCCGCCCCTCTTTCTAGGCCCCTCCCCTTCCTGACACACAGAGACACTGAGACAGAAAGAGACACTCACAGAGAGCGAGAGACACACACACACAGACACACACACAGACACAACAACAACAACAACCGCCATTCGCCACTAAGTGGCGGTGACGTCACCACGACGCTTGTGCCAGGCTATGTGCACCCTGAGGCCACGTGAAGTGTCGAACGCCCGCTGGCAGGAGGTCACGGGGCAGACCCAGGTGCCACGGGTCGACTGACTGAGATGACTGGCTGATGCACCACCTGTGCCCCCTACTGTGCCAACCTGCTGTGCTTTAGCCACCCGGCGCTCCGCTCGCTGTTGTGAGCGTCGCTCCTCCGCCCTCCGTTGTTGTTGGAGGGCGACTGCCTCCAACTGCCCAGTAGCATCCTTCACGAGCCTCCTCCACAGAGGCCGATCTTGACACCGCTGGTACCAGTCATCGGCAAGTCCACTCAGCTCCACGTCCTCCTGTACCACGTCACTCCATCTCTTCTCTAGCCCGTGCCGCGCCCGCTTAGCCCCCTCAATCCGGCCAAACAAAAGCTGTTTCGGCATGCGGTGGCTGGGCATGCGGGCTACATGACCCAGCCATCGCAGCCTTGCCTGCCGGAGGAGCTCACCGATGGGACCCTGCCCAGATCTTTCAAGGATTTGTGAGTTCCTCACACAATCCAGTCTGGTTAAACCCAGGATGGATCGTAGGCAGGCCAGCCTAAATGTTTCTAACCGGCGAAGATGTTCCATTAGGGGGGTCCACGTTTCGCAAGCGTAGAGTAGGGAGGGAATGACCGTGGCCGAGAAGACCTGAAGCTTAGTGCGGAGCGACAGACCAGGTAGCTTCCACACAGCGTTACGCAACCGATGAAAAGATATTGCCGCTCGACTGATTCGGAGTGAGACCTCTGCTGTTAAACTGGAGCCAGTCATAAGCACACTGCCCAGGTATGGGAAACTCTCCACTCTCTCCACAACTGCCCCATCACCGATTGGGAGTTGTGGGGGTGGAGTGTCCGATGGTACAAAATACCCAGGCAGGTGCTTAGTTTTGGTGGGGCTGATGGTAAGGCCCCACCTCTTAGTGGCACGCTCCAGTCTCAGCAGCAGCGTCTCCAACTCCTCCTCTGACTGAGCAGCTATTACCAAGTCATCAGCATACATAACGTGGTTGAGCAATAGGGAGCCATCCCTTGACCGCACCCGGGCATCGATTAGCCTCCCATTATATCTGTACCATATGGAGATTCCCCCGGTACAGCTATTGAAGGCTTCACGAACTACGTGGTCAAAATAGATGTTAAATAATGTGGGAGCCAGAGGACATCCCTGTAGCACCCCAAGGTGTACAGGGAATGGCTCTGACTCCCGGCCACGTAGTTTTACCCGGGCCCGCTCACCATCATGAAGGTCCTTAATGATCGTGAGCAGAGGTTCAGGTACTCCAAAAGCAGGAAGAACGACCCAGAGCCCAGGCCTACTGATGGTATCATAGGCCTTGACCAGGTCAATAAAGCAGAGATGTAGGTCTTGTTGGAATTCCCTACACCTCTGCTGTAGCAGACGGACAGAAAATATGGCATCTGTGCAGGACCGCCCTTTCCTGAAACCGCATTGGGGCTCCGCAAGCCTCTCCTCAGCGTGCCTGGCAAGGCGATGCTGAATAATCCTTGCCAGGACCTTTCCCGGCACACTGAGGAGTGAGATGCCCCTGTAGTTGTTACAGTCTGTGCGGTCCCCCTTCTTAAAAAGGGGAACCACCAGGGCATCCTTCCAATCCTGCGGAACCCATCCAGTGGTCCAGACTGTTGTTATGATGTCATATAGGGCAGTCTGTGCACAAACGCCACCCTCCCTCAGCATTTCGCTTGGGAGATCATCTCTGCCCGCTGCCTTTCCTGGTCTCAGACTCCGGATCGCCTTCAATACTTCCTCAGCAGATGGCACCTCAGCCAGCCACTCACAGGGGGTGACTTCATCCAATATTTGAGGCACCGCAGCCTCAGCAGGGTCATCCTCACTTTGTGCCACGATGTTTTCCTGGCTGAGGGATTTTCCCTCCCCCAGGACCTCACAGAAATGCTCAGCAAATCTGCGAACCTGTTCCTGGGGGTCGGAAATTGGATCACCGTTTTTTCCCCTAATGATGGTAATAGGTGTGGCGCTGCAGGTTACTTTTTTGATGGAGTTAAATAGAGATTTGTGATCACGGGCCACTGAGGCAGACTCCATCTCCTCAGCAACCCGCGACCACCACCCATCCTTGCAGCGCCTCACGGCTCTCCGAACCTCCGAGCGAAGGCTGCGGTAAGCCTCCTCATTCTCTGACGTGGGATTCTGTAGCCGATGACAGTGGGCCTGTCGCTTTTTCTCAACCATCCTGAACAACTCCTCTGTCATCCAGGGTGTCTGGGGAGGTCTGGACCGCGTACCCAAAGCAGCCATTGCAGCTGCATGAGTCACAATCCTAAACCTCGCCCATTTACCCTCGACATCAGGAGGAGTCGGGGACGATGCCAATCCCAGCCGCAAGCGATGATGAAATTCTCGCTTGCAACTTTCATCAGATAACTGAGACTAGGCCACTTTAGGTTGGAATGGGGTCCTGGGTGTACACCCACCACCGGAGTGGAAGAATGGTAGGCGCATCTTACAGATGACTAGTCGATGGTCAGAGGGCAGATCAGCTCCACGGTAGGTCCTGGTGTCAAGGACATGGGCTCGCATTCGCTGGTCCGTCATTATGTAGTTCAGCAGATGTTCTTGCTTGGACCCGGCATGCATCCATGATGTTGTGTGGATGCGCCGATGCCGGAACAGCGTGTTGGTAATTACAAGCCCATGGGCTGCACAAAAATCTAGCAGCCTCCTACCGTTGTTATTGAGCTGATCTGGCCCATGCCCTCCAATCACTCCAGACCAGGTGCCAGTATCATGACCAACTCGGGCATTGAAGTCACCCAACATGATGACTCTATCCCGAGGGGCCACTTTAGCCAGCACCTGTGACAGGAGGTCATAGAAGGCATCTGACTCATCGGCTTTGCCTGCATCCCTCCACGGATGTTCATCTTCGGTGGGGGCATAAGTAACCACGACCACCATTCCTCGCCTCCGGTTGATGGGAAGGCGAGCCCAAAGTAGCCTGGGGCTTACAGCTTCCCACACCTCACCGCCACGCTCCCACGCCCCCTTCATTCTTTTGTTCAAAACAAGACACACACCCTGTTGTTTGGCAGTCTGCTGCCCCGAGTAGAGGACTGTCCACCCCTCATGGTGGCAGGAGCCAGAGCCGGTCCACCGGACCTCCTGAATGCCGCATAGATCCAGGCGGTACCGGTCCAGCTCCCGACAGAGGAGTGGCAGCCTCTCCTCTGCAGTGAGCGTTCGAACATTCCACGTGGCCAACCGTAGTGGCTTTTCGTTGTTTCTGGAGTAGCCCCGAGGGTAGGTATTCAATCTCCTGGCTCCGCCAATTGGGGTTTGGCCAGGAGACGTCATAGACGCCTGGCCCCCCGGGGCCTCCGGCACACACACAGAGACACACAGACACACTCACACACACACAGAGACACACACACACACACAGACACACACACAGTGACACACACACACACAGACACACACACACAGACACACACACAGACACACACACACAGACACACACACAGAGACTCACACACACAGAGACTCACACACACACACAGAGACACACACACTCACACACACAGACACACACACACAGACACACACACAGTGACACACACACAGACACACACACACAGACACACACACAGACACACACACATAGACACACACACAGAGACTCACACACACAGAGACTCACACACACACACAGAGACACACACACACACAGACACACACAGACACACACACAGACACACACACACACAGACACACACACACAGTGACACACACACAGACACACACAGACACACACACAGACACACACACAGAGACACACACACACACAGACACACACACACAGACACACACACACAGACACACACACACAGACACACACAGACACACACACAGACACACACACACAGACACACACACACACACAGACACACACACACAGACACACACACACACACAGACACACACACAGAGACACACACACACACACACATAGACACACACACACACACACATAGACACACACACAGACACACACACACACAGAGACACACACACACACACACAGACACACACACAGAGACACACACACACACACAGACACACACACACACAGACACACACACACAGACACACACACAGACACACACACACACAGACACACACAGACACACACACAGAGACACACACACACACACAGAGACACACACACACACACAGACACACACAGACACACACACACAGACACACACACAGAGACACACACACACACAGACACACACACACACACAGACACACACACAGAGACACACACACAGACACACACAGACACAGACACACACAGACACACACAGACACACACACACACAGAGACTCACACACACACACACACAGACACACACAGACACACACACAGACACACACACACAGACACACACACACACACACACAGACACACACACACAGACACACACACACACACAGACACACACACAGAGACACACACACACACACACATAGACACACACACAGACACACACACACACAGAGACACACACACACACACACATAGACACACACACAGACACACACACACAGTCACACACAGTCACACACAGACACACACACACAGTCACACACACAGTCACACACACACAGACATACACACAGACACACACACACACACAGACACTCACGCTGGTGATCTGCTCATTCACGATGTGTCCCACTCTCTCCCACAGATACGATTCCACTTCAAGCGATGATGATGATGATGGTAGTGATGATGGGAGTGATGGTGGTTGTGATGATGGTGGTGGTGATGGTTGTGGTG